GAACTGGAATTGATGTTTTATGGCATAAAGGCTCAAGAACTTCTTCAGTTCATCTTTGTCTGCAAATGTTTGACCACTTTCAAGCACCCCATCAAAAGTTGCATTCTTCTGAATAAATCCCTCACTTCCAATCTTCTTTTCAATTATTTGAAGGCTTTCATCTGCTATTTCAACAAGCGTTTCTGAACATCTGCCTGAACATTCCACAAATTCTTCCCTTGCAATAATTCTTCTCTTAAAAACGTTATAATCTATCATGGGATTTGGTTGTACTGTGAGGTGACGTTCTTCATTTGCATCTGTGCTTGGCAATCTGGTTATGGCTAGGCACTGTTTTGGCTCCAATGACACACAAATTGGCAGTTTTGTGTAATCTTTTTCTTCTTTTTTCAGCTCTTTGTAAAATTCTAGGCTTGTCTCGTTGCCTATCTTTATCGGTTTGTACCCTTGCTTAAGCTGATACTTTAACACCACTCTTGAATCTGATGGAACATATTCTACAATTTTTTCCACAGCTTGTAGTAAATCTTCATAACTTTCATTCTCTTTATGGAAGAGTCCACATACTTCATATCCTTCATAAGTTATTTCATTGATCCATTGTCCATTATATTGAACAATAAAAAGATCCCTGCTCATTTTTCCCTGCATAAGTTTTTAACAATTAAAATATCACAATTGATCAAAATACTTATGAAATCTATGACAGTAGTTTATAAATTTCACTTTTCTGTAAAAAACCCTCTTTTGTTTTTTTTTTTTCACCAATAAAACAGAATTTTTAAATATAAGAACTTATTGAACATCTCTGTAAATGCAACTAATAAAAATCATCACCTAATATATAAGAACAATTTAATTCATATGCATCTAATTTTTTTTTTTCAAATCACCTGTTATCTCTCTGAATCTGATCTTCCACTGCTCCAATTTTCAAAGCTGAATATGATCTTCAGTTCTCAAATTTTCCCAACTTTATTAAGCCGATTATTTTTTATTCAATTCTCTTTTTTTTCGATTTTTTCTATCAAAAAATTTTTCGAACAATCTGATGCTTTTGTTTGATGATTTTTTCTCTCAATGATTTTGTCTTTTTTTAATCGTCTTCGTTTTTCTTTGAGTAACTGTCATTCGGTTTTTTTTTTTTCAAATTCAAATTAAACCGTTTCAATTTTTTTCGTACAAAACCATTCAGTTTTTTTAATTTAATTTTTTCATTTTATTTATTTATTTTTTCTGGAATGGGGTGTTTTTGTCTATTATTTGGAGTATAATGGTAACTGTATATACATAGGAGTTGTTTTGCAAATTATGTATTAAAATTGGGCAGTTATAAATTTTTCCCTTTAATTCCTCGTGAGTTTTATGAATTGGACTAACGTAAATGGTCGTGCATTCGCCATTAAAAATATGGATTTTCCATCGAATGTGAACCCACTGGGTCTGTGATCCACTTATTAAACACAGGTGAGCCCAAATGATAATAAAACACAGGTGAGTCCAAATGATCAAAGCCCGCCTAAAAAATAAACTCACGTGAGTCCAAATGACCAAAGCCCGAACACAAAATCTCATTACCAATTAATCATTTAACCAAATTTAATTTTACTTCTCTAGCATACCCCCTATATTGCTAGAAATTCTACATGTGCCACTATATTATGGTGTCACAATATGATGTGGCACATTATGATTGGTGCCACATTATCACACATCATCTTGTGGCTCCAATCATAATGTGCCACATCATGTTGTAGCACCATAGAATTTCTGACTATATTTTCCTGGGTGAAAGGTAAATAATATTTTCACATTTTAGATTAACCAAAGTTTCGTTTAAGGCACTTTTCATGGAGATGTTACAGTCTCGTTACAGAATCATTTCATCAGAATTTGTAACCGTTAGATCAACTATTTTCGATGGTTTCATGATGATTTAACGATTACAAACTCGATTTACTGATTTCGTAACGAGAATGTAATATTTCCCTACTTTTCAAACACTTCCGCTCATATGACATATACCAAGTAAAAAATAATTCGCCAATTTAGGATATTAAAAAAAATAAAACCTAGTACAAGTCCAAGGCAGGAATTATTTCGAGCGCGTCCTTCAATTTCTTTCTGAACAAGATATTTAGTTACAAAGGAGCAGAACATCAAAAAAGCTAATCGAATCCCCAAATTACAAAGGAGCTTCGACCCTCTCGCCGGTCTCCTTCGCCGTCGTCGTCATCATTGTCCTATTGTTCGTCTCTCGCTCCCTCTGCCTAGGTTAACAGGACAAACTTCGTCTTCCTCGCGTTTTCTTTTCCTTTTGTTTTTGGCCATTTTTTATGCTAAATTTGTTTGTCAATGAAGGATTCGACAGTTATTGAACGACAAATTATGAATGGTTGAATGATTTTTGATCCATATGGTTGGATCTTTATTAGCTGTTCGAAAATGCTCGTCGGCAACTCAATACGCCCCCTGCGCACGTTAGCCTCTGACCTTCCTGCCGAAATCCAGCTTTCGCCATGTCAAGGTTCGTAACTGCTCTACGCATAAAGCTTTTTTCTCGCTTACCTTTTTCATTAAGCTTTTGCCCATTTCTTTGTATCATCTTTTATTGCTCAATTGGTCTACTTGAATACCTATTTTCTTTAATTGTTGTTGTTGTTGTTGTTGTTGTTGTTGTTGTTGTTGTTGTCGTTGATATCAAGTACGAGTAATTACTTTTCACTGAATTTTTTCTGTTAGGGCAGCTTATTAAGAGGTGCTAATCTATATTGAGTGTCAATCTTCAGTTACTGAGAGCTTGCTTTTTTTTCTGTTGTAATCTTAAAAGGTGCTTATTGTACATATCCTTGAGAGGTTGCCGGTTTTGGACAATCGGAGCTATCAAGAAATTAGCTCCAACTTGCCAAGCCAGTCCTGCTGGTACCCTTTTTCAATTATCTAAATATGGAGGCAGTATGCATTCTCCCCAGAAAAGGCTTTTCTCGGATTATGCATTCCCAAACAGGGGTCTTGCCTGGAATGCTATTTGTGCGGGGAAAGATTTCTACAATATTCACCTCAGAACTTATTCAGCAAGGTTTAACACAATGGCCCATCTTGCCAAAATTGCTTGGAAGAGGCTCTTACAAGTGTCGTTACATGATGGTAGTACAGCTCGTCTAGGTATAAGCAGGATTGCTCGGGCTGTTAGTTTGGGTTTTTCCCATTCTTCCATGACTGTTCCCGGTATATTTTCTCTCATGTTTGGAACACGTTTGGCCTATGCCCAATCTGCTTCTTCAAGCTCACCTGTTGTAATGCAGCCAAGGAATGCATTGTACGTGGGTGCTCAAGACAGCCATCTTTTTTTCACCCGATTGGTATTCTCTATATTCCAAGGCATTTTCTTGCTGATCAGGGCTTTTCAACTGGCTTTGCTGTTCACCCCGAGCATCATCATGGCCCCGTTTGCTGACAATTTCGGGCCTCATTTCAGGAAACTGTGGCTCCAGGTCGTCCACCAGACCCTTGAGCGGGCTGGGCCGGCATTCATCAAGTGGGGCCAGTGGGCCGCCACGCGGCCGGACCTGTTCCCCGGAGATCTGTGCACCGAGCTGTCCAAGCTCCACATGAAAGCCCCAGAACACAGTTTTTTCTACACGAAGAAGACGATCGAGAGGGCCTTCGGCCGGAAGATCACCGAGATTTTCGACAACTTTGAGGAAAAGCCCGTAGCTTCCGGAAGCATAGCCCAGGTGCACCGAGCCTCGTTACGGGCCCGGTACCGTGGCCGTGAAAGCAAGCCGATGCTTGTTGCTGTCAAGGTTAGGCATCCGGGGGTGGGGGAGTCCATAAAGAGGGATTTTGAGATAATTAATTTAGTTGCAAAGATCTCGAGCTTTGTCCCCGCTCTGAATTGGCTGAGGCTGGATGAGAGCGTGAAGCAGTTTGGGGTTTTCATGATGTCCCAAGTGGATCTTGCTCGTGAGGCTGCACACTTAAGCCGTTTCATATACAATTTCCGGAGTTGGAGAGACGTGTCTTTCCCGAAGCCCGTTTATCCTTTGGTGCATCCGGCTGTTCTAGTCGAGACTTTTGAGCATGGTGAGAGTGTTGCTAGGTATGTGGACGAGCTCGAGGGAAATGAACGAATTAAAAGATCCCTTGCACACATTGGGACCCACGCGCTACTGAAGATGCTCTTGGTAACTCCTATGCGCTCTTTGTTTTTTTTTTTTTTTTTTCCAATCGTGTCATTATGTGCCAAGATAGAAACTCTCCACTTGCTACAATTTTGTGATTTTGCAATGTACGGGATTAGTTACGTCATGCTTAGCTTTAAATGATGGTCGATGTGTTAATTCATTACAGCTGGTATTTGCATTTTGAAATAGCTAAATGGGATTTGGTACAAATTGCCTCACTTTTTTAATCCATATAGTGATGTTTATCACCACAAGGTGAAGTTGTTGATCCATCAGTGGATTAATGTAGTGTTAGAGTTTTTTTCTTGTGTATTGCTGGCCAGTAAGATAAACTATTTGGTTTGATCTCTATATTCTTTCTCTCCTTCAACAGGTGGACAACTTTGTTCATGCAGACATGCACCCAGGGAATATCCTTGTCCGTGTGCCTCAGAGCAAGTCCTCTCGTAAAAAACTCTTCAAAACCAAGCCTCACGTCATCTTCATTGATGTGGGCATGACTGCCGAGCTCTCGAAAAACGATCGTATTAATCTGCTCGGATTTTTCAAAGCTGTTGCCCGTAGAGATGGCCAAACTGCAGCCGAGTGCACGCTCAGGTTATCAAGGAAACAAAACTGCCCAGAGCCAGAGGCCTTCATTCAGGTAGTACACAGCTGCTCATTTTTTACATTCATCATTCGTGCTGCATGGTCTTAATAACAAAACCTTGGATTTTTTTTATTTTTTATTTTTTCTCTGCTTATAGGAAGTAAAAAACTCGTTTGATTTTTGGGGCACGCCGGAAGGGGATTTGGTGCATCCTGCCGATTGCATGCATCAACTGCTTGAGAAAGTTCGGAGGCATAAAGTGAACATAGATGGCAATGTTTGCACCGTGATGGTTACTGTTTTAGTCCTTGAGGTCAGTGGTCGCTAAATGATACTATTAAGTGAAATTCAAAACCATAATGATCAAGATAATATTATAATTAATCAACTCCTAAATGCTCTGCTTCCCAGAAAAGAGAAGTAAAAAAAATTGAGATTAATAATAATAATATTATTTAAGTCATTTTAGAAGGGTATTCACCATACGCTAGTGTCCTTATAAATCTTCCATGCTAGAGGTGCCTGTCTTGTTTTAGGAAACTACTGCAGTCCCGTTGATGGAATGGTTCCGTCAATATTGGTTACCGTAGATTATCCACACAAGATAATCTTTATGTGTATCCAATGGTGTAAAACATTGACGGTACCATTCCGTAACGACACCTTAGAATTTTCCCTTGTTTTATTCCAAGTTATCCAGTTAATGGGTATGTTGATGTTGATGATGTTGATGAAATTTTTGTCTATAGGGCTGGCAGCGGAAGCTCGATCCAGATTATGACGTGATGCATACGCTACAAACACTGCTACTGAAAGCCGACTGGGCAAAATCACTTTCTTATACAATCGAAGGACTTATGGCTCCTTGAGTTAGCTGAATGGTTTTTCTTCTTTTCATAGAACTACTCTCACTGTATAGAGAATTTTGATGGAGTAAAAGCACTTGGATGGTTTTTCTTATTTTTTCTAGAAATTTAATGTCTGTTGTTCTGGGAAGAAGTTATCACCAAGTGTCCATTCACAATTTTGTAAGGATGGTTTATTTCTTGTGTTATTCTTGAGACTGATTTTCATACCACTTTCTAGCTAGTTATATCAACATTATGAAGAATACACACTCACATGCATATTGAGTCCTGTGCTTCACAGGTAGTTAGGCACAAGCTATCTTTTCAAAAAGCTATATGATATTCACTCACACATAAACAATATTTCTTCACATTATGACACAAAGCAAAGAATTGTCCTAAATATATAAAACTACAATTACTAATAAGTCTAATATGCACATAGTTTATAGTATACTATTGACAAACATCAAAGTACAATTATCTTCAACAAAGAATATACATAAATAAATATCATCTAAACACTATTATGTACAAAATTAATTAACAATCCTCATCTTCTCCGTAAGAACGTCTTTCCCTCTGCATCCTCATTCACGATACGTAAAACCTCGTTCGGTGGAACGTGCCTCCAAACCTGCGGCCTCTTCAACTTGTGCCCCATCTGCGCGAATTTATCTGCGGCCCTATTCCCCTCCCTAAAAGTGTGAGTGAACACGCAGTTCTTAATCTCCGGCACCATCAAGTTCACGCGCGCCACATGTGCTCGCACCTGCGCGCACCTGATAACTCCCTTCTTTCTTGTGATAATGTCGACAATGCCCTTGGAGTCACCCTCGAGCCACACGTCACTCCACCCGTTTTCCAGCACGATCTCGAGGCCCCTCACGAGGGCCGCCAGCTCAGCCAGCGTGCTGTTGCTTTGGCCGATCGACTCGGCATACCCTAGCAAGAAACCTGCATTGTGGTCACGAAAAATGCCACCAATGCTCGATTTTCCCGTCTTGCACTTGCACGAGCCGTCGTAGTTCAACTTGGTCCACCCGTGCTCGGGTCTGGCCCACGTCACGTTGATGGCTTCCTTGTGCCACTGCCTGAGGAAGATTCGGAGTGTTTTGTGGATTGATAATCTTTTATCGATCAATCTTGAAACTATCGTCATTGTTTCGATTTTACGTGCTAAATTGAAGTCGGCTTACGGTCATTAAACGGAGAATTAAACTACGTCGATTGCACGGGATTCGGGACATTTTGGTCATCGGGATTTAGGTCTTGTATGAGAATATTGAAGATGATTTTGCGTGGGGAGAAGCTAATGGAATATTTTGCAAAACTTAACTATATTTATATTCTTTTCTTGCAAGAAATGATGGTGTGTGTGTGTGTGTGGATTTGGTTCGCGGCATTTCTGGGCCAATGTTTGAATAACGGTAAGTTAACCGTCATAATCTTTGGAAATTGAGCCGCGAATATTGGAGATTAATCGCCTGGATTATCTGAGGCCAAGAATGCAATGGTTCTACTAAGTTTAAAAAAAGAAAAAAAAAAAAAAAA